CTCTCTCTCTCTCTCTCTTTCTCTCCCTCCCTCCCTCCCTCCCTCCCTCAATCTCTATGTGTGTGTGTACTGTGTGGGGGTATGTGTGTAGTGTGTATATTTGTGTTTATGTATGAGGTATGTGTGTATGTGGTGTATGTGGGGTGTGTGTGACCTGTATGTATATGTGTATGAGCACATTCTCTGATTCATGGCAGCTGCAAGGACTTCAACACTTCAGGCAGGCACTAGAACCACTTTCCAGGGTTTTGTTTACAAGACAGGAAGCTATTTCCTCACCCAGATACTACTTTATCAGGATAATGGCCGCAAAGCTTTCAGAGAGGTTCACTATACAATTATCACCGTAATCACTCACCTTTCAGAAACTAATTGACAGGTGTCTGCTAATTCGCCTTGACCCTCCTCAACTTCGATCTTCAAAACATCACCAACCGATTTATAATGAAAATTGCCTGCTATTTGATATATGCTATCACTTGTTCCCTGCACTCAAGTCCAGAAATCACTGTCATCATCTTCACCCCCAAAATGAACATCAGAAACTCTGAAATAGCTTCCAGCAAGAGCACAGAGCCATTAAAGGCAGCCAGTGCAGCCTCAACCACAACCCTCAGCATGCCTTGCCCTTCCCCCAAGGATTGCAATTCCTCCAGGCTCCTTCCCCAGGCAGTGGCATCTCTTTACCAAGGAAGGAGAGGGTTCTGGGGTAGAAGGAGGGAAAAGGGGCATAACTACTCTATACTCACCAACACCCATAGCAAGCACGTCTATTCACAACTGCATGCTGCAAGTGGGTGAGCTGAAGGGTCTAATATCTGCTCCAGGAGGTCACCTACACTGTTTCCCACTAGACAGACAGCACACTACTGGTTCAGGCCATCCAGGAAGAGGATGCCCTCCCCCATTCCTGATTTTTCTCAGAATAAAGCTAAGTAGTAATCTGACACAGCAGAACAGCCTACCCAAGACTGAGCCTATACACCCAGACCAGCACTTCAGCAAGCAAAAGCACGTGACAGCCAGGCTGGGGCCCCATACATCCCATGATATAGAAGTCATCTGGGAGATCAAACTTGGAAGAAGAGAATAAGGGCTGAACCTAGTAGGTCTGAGCAAGAATCTTGTTTTGTTTTGTTTTGTTTTGTTTTTCAAGACAGGGTTTCTCTGTGTAGCTCTGGATGTCCTGGGTAGCCTCAAACTCAGAGATCTGACTGCCTCTGCCTCCCAAGTGCTGGGATGAAAAATGTGTGCCAACAACACCAGCTATAAGCTGGAATCTTGATTCCTACTTTCTGGACAGGTGACAATGATGGTTAGTTTTATAACCTAATGGTGGCTGACAATATGACTGGAACATGGTATGCAGATATTTGATCAAATGATAATCTAAATGTCAACTGTGAGTGCCTTTGTCAGCCTGTATAGAATGGTTAGGTTTCACCTAATTGAAGGCCTTAAGATGAAAGAAAAGAGGTCCATGGAAAAGATGTATTCATAGGATTCACAGTCGAGCTGTGACATCAACTCTTCCCAGGTGTCTAGTCTGCAGGGCACTTTGTAGATGATGGAGCTGATGGACTCTCACGACCACATGAGCCAGTTTCCTAAAATTATCCCATGCACATGCACATTGTCTGTATCACTGCAGAACCCAAACTCTCTGTCTCTTGTTTTTAGATATGTACACACACAAACACCAGAAAGAGAGAGAGAGAGAGAGAGAGAGAGAGAGAGAGAGAGAGAGAGAGAGAGCTAGCACAAATCCACTTTGGGGTTTTAGTTTCTATGTATGTACAGCTGTCAAGGGAGTGGCCAGGCCACAGGGGAGATCCTAGCAGTGGGTTTCTCTAGGTATTCTTGGACCCAAACCATCTCACTGCCCTAGAGATCACCAAGTTAGCTAGTCTGGCTGGCTAGTAAGACTGAGGGATTCCCCCGTCTCTGCCTTGTACCTCACCATGGCTGGAATTTCAAGTACACACCACCACAACCAGCTTTGTAAGTCAGGGTCTGGGGTTCAAGCTCAGGTCCTCATTCTTGCAGGGCACTTTCCTCAAAAAGCATCACCCCATACATCTTGATTCGGAATTGAGCAATATGTCAGAGATGAAACCAAAAGCATGGAAAGTCAACTCTGGGCATACATGAAACTGTCTGCAGAGTAGAAAGGGACCCCAGATCCTTAACCATGGAGTTGGCATTATGTCCAGAGAAATTACCATGGATGCTTAATTGCCAAGCTGGTTACTTGGGGGGGGGGGGGTATGGTGGTAAGGTGACATCCAGAGCAAGAGCCAAAAGCAAAGGGGGAGACAAGCTTTCACAAACCACCATTCTGGCTAGGAAATGCAGTGGTCAAAGGAGAGGAGCCTACCCTCTCTCTCAACCACAACAGCAACCAAAGCCTTTCCAACAGCTCAGGCCAGCCCAAATTCTACTCCACCTTTCTTCCTCATAGAAACAGGAGAAGACTGGAAAGTTGATTTGTACCTGTAAATTTAAAGGTTGTTGACACTGTATTTTAAAAGTGATTTTATGTTGTTTATTTTTTAAATCTGGAGGCACGTTTCCATAACAAGAATAAAAGGATAAAGGTGAAGGTCTCGGGACAGCCCACAGAGTGCTGTCAACTGCAAAAGCATGTAGGGCTAAAAAGATTGCAGTCTCTTCCCTCTAATAAGCTCACAGCTCTCTAAGTCAGTTCTGCCAAAGATAAAAAGATACTTTATACTTGCAACTAAAAAGCTTACACTATGAAAACATATCCTCAGTTTCCTCCTATAACTCAGAAAACTCAGGCATTGGTGTGTCCACATGTGCGATTTGTAATGCCCAAATCAGGGAAAACACTGGGAGCTCAAAACAGTGTCTCGATATGCAGCTCCAGCTAGCTTTGAACTAACAAACCTTTGGCCCAGCTTTGAGTGTTGGGGTTACAGGCCTAGGCTGTGGTGCAAGGCACACCACCAATGCTCCCTGATAACTGTGACTAAAAGAAGAAAATCACGGGACTCCATAAGCAACAACAGGACAGCAGGTACGTGCCCAGTACACCATGTGTCTTCAGCTGCACAGGAGGAGAACTCAGGAAGGTGCTGAAGACTATGTGCTGAAGGTGCTTCTCAGGAAGGTTCAGTAGACTATGTGCCATCTCACTGCAGTCCAGCAAGGTGGGTCACAGGTGCATGCTGAATAGGCTGTCACCCATGTTTGCTTCAGGACACTCAGGCTGCATCTCGAGAAATGGGACTTCCTCTGCGATTTGCACACTACAGCCTCTACTAGTGCATTTGGGGAGAAGTGCTCTAAAAATCCAGACTCAGAAATGCACCTCATAGTGCTGTGCTTCCTAAATCAAAACCAAGATATATATATATATATATCCCCAATGCTGAGGAGGAGGAGACAAATGGATCCCTGCAGCCCACTGGCCATCCAGTCTAGCCAACTGGTAAATTCCAGGTTCAGGGAGATGCCATGCCTCTAATAATAAAATAGACAGCTCTCGAGGAACACCACAGAGGTTGGCCTCTGGCCTCCAAATGTGTATGCTGTGGGTCCATAACAGGAGGGTACTAGCTGGGACAAGAGGGGTTTTCAGGAGTAAGGGGAAAGAGATGGGAGTGAGGGTGAATGTGATCCCAACACATTGTACATATGCATAAAACTATCAAAATTAAAATATTAAATAACACCAAGAGCCAGACATTTCCTGTTGGCTAGTCATGCCAACTCAAGCAGCAGGGAAATCTGTCCCTGCTGTAAGCAGATAGATACTCCCTTGTAAACTTTGTAAACTCTCAAGGCTTGAAGAGCTCTAGTGGCCACGCTCTGCCCCCAGTCTTCCTTAATAGCCTTCTAACAGCTGTAAGAGCCAGTCCCAGTTCCAAGGTGGAAGAGTGGCCAAACCCCACCCTACAAGAAAAAAATCCCACCAATCTCTGACCTTGCCCCAAGATTGGCCACATAACTAGTCCAATCCCAAGTCATCCTGGAAAGTTGTACCCCACCCCAAGCAAGAAACCCTATATAAACTCTGTTGTGCCAGTTCTCTGCTGTTTCTCACCCAAGCAGAGGCAGCCACCATCTTGTGTCTTTCATGTGTGAGGTTTGTTGTGAGGTGTAACTCTGTGGTATTCCTTGGCTCCCAACTGCCAGGATACCTTTCCACCAAGCTGTACTGCTTATTACCCAGTAACTAAACTGTGCTAATCCCTATGCTGCCTATACATATCTCCTCACAAAGCAGGTGCCACCAACTATCCCATTTTACAAATGAGAAAACTGAGAAACAGAGATTAAGAAACTACAAGAGGAGGCTGGAGAGATGGCTGGCTCAGAAGTTAAGAGCACTGGCTGCTCTTCCAGAGTTCCTGAGTTCAATATCCAGCAACCACATGGTGGCTCACAACTGTCTATAATGAGATCTGGTACCCATTTCTGGCATGCAGGCATACATGCAGGCAAAACACTGTATAAATAATAAATAAATAAATATTTTGAAAAAGAAACTACAAGAGAGCTGGGATTACAGCCTGACGACTCTAAGTCCAGGGAGGTCTGCTTCTTTACCCTGCCTATTCTCTGCTGCTTACACCTGTGGTCTCATGTGAACCAACCACTCCACAGGGCTCACAATATTCTTGACCTAAAGTCCATAAGCACCCAAATCATACAACCATTGCTAAGTCTAGTGAGGCTAAGTTTTCATTTAGCAAAAATAAACAGGGTTTCTTTTTTCTGGACCCCTCCACACCATTTCTCTACTCCACTGGAGTACGTATTCATCCACTCCTGCACCTGCCCGTGGAATAGCAGCCCCTCCCCCATGGGCTCAGCTCCACCTCACCTTCAGCTGTTTGACCTTCTCTTTTCAGCATCTGGACAGCTCCTACATATTTCTTCAGCTGGACTTTGAGCACCTCGTTTTCTCTGCAGGTATAAGAATGTTTAAAAAAAAACAAATTTAAAAACTAACAATGTCCACCCTAAGCAGGGGAAGGAATCTGTGTGAGGAAAGGCACACAATTTGTATCTTACAAATGCTAATGTGAAATCCTGTATCACAGATCAGCACTGAAAAGAATTTGTAACTAAGGACATACTTCTGGAACACCTTCTGGAACTTTCCTTTTGAAAAGTTGGTGATTGCCAACTGGTTCCTGTACCTCCAGACTTGGAATGCAGACATGTGCTATGTGAACTCACCAACCTGCCAGTGTCATTCTGGGTTATTTTCTTCAATGACAGAGGTACACACTAAACACAGTTCACCTGGACCTGCTACTGTGCATTACATGACTTGCCTCATGCTAAGTATTCACACATCATCCCAGGAACTAGCACAACTCATGATTTGTAGATGAGGAAACTGGGACACCAGGAGGGGAACCAGTGACCAAATACATCTCCAATCCCACAAAAGATCATACATCATACAATGGAAAACAGACACTGGGCGACAACCACACCCCACCTCCCAAATCCATTCCCCTGATACACTGACTAATCTTGTGACATGAGGTTCCAGGAAAAGAAACTGACATTTCATGACATTTCGTCACATAGTTTGGACCTTGAACATATCAGCTCACACATGCATGCATTCAGCCATCCATTATGTCCACATAGCTTTAGCTTGGGCCCATATAAGCTCACTGAATCACATGCATGCATTCATCCATCCATCATTTGTGGAAAACTTACAATGGATCTGTCATATTCTCCCAGGTTAGTAAGACAGAAGTTAGACAAATAATGTCTCTGAACAATATCACATGGTCAAGGACACCAGTAAAACCCAGGTGTCTCTGTTCCCCAGAGAGATTTTCTTGTGTCCTTCTAGAGACTGAGACTTAATCTCTCACCAGCTACACCCAAAGAGGCTCCTTGTCCTCATTCTATTTCTGCCTCTCACTTCCCACCCCAGGTCTTCAGTGTGTTGTTAAACACACTGAAATGTTCTGTTTTCACAATAAAAAGAGCTCAAAACTGAGTTTCTTCTATGACTATACAAATAAAGACTCACTGCAAAATACTCCAATTAGAACACATTTTTGAAGGAGAAATTAGCTGAAAACCCAACACCTTGAAATAAAGCCCATTCACAGTCTCCTCTCAATCCTGTCATACTTAGGGCATGTGCAAACAAGAATGTTTTATGGAAGAAATAACTTGTCACATTCTCATTCCTTTTTGTCTTCTCTAGCTCTCCACTCCAGGAATCAGCAGCAAACCTGGTGTGCACTGATGTGGCCTACAGCATGCATGCTAACCACTACAAGCCACACACACTCCTGCAGAGTCCAGGGTACAGTGCAGGACCACACACTTTCTGCAACCAAGTTGTTTTCTTTAACTATACCACTGCAAGCCATAATTCAGTCTATTGACAGACAGAAATGTATTCCTTTGTGTAGTACCACACACTTACTTAGCTGTAACACCTGGGATTGCTTCTGTGTTTGTTCCTAGTGCCCCACACTACAATGCAGTCTAAAAGACAGCCCTTCGGTAAATTTGGGGAGACAGAACATCAGGGTCAAATGCTGGAAGCATCAGATACTTAGGAATCACCATGGTGAACATATCAGCTCACTGGGTGGACATCTTTGGCAACTGACAGTTTAACCCAGCTGGATTTGCCCTGGTGGGAAATTAATGCTTTCACACCTCTGGGATGAGAAAAATCTCAAGTGAGAATGTGCTCACAGTTTCTTCCAAAGGATAAAGGCCTGGTGTGCTGACCAGGAGGCACTGGATACTGACCCCTAGAACAACCAAATCTAGTTATTGTTTTACATTTTTATTTTAAAGTCATTAAAGATTTGCAGAAAGTTAGAAGATAACAAGAGTTGGTCCAGTTTTCTCTGGTAGGAACACCTTACATAGCCACGGGGTGGATGCTACCACAACCAGATACCTACCATGAACACAATGCATGATAGACCACGTTCATTTTGATAGCTGGCCTTGACCATGAGGAGAGCCCTGAGCCTTAGCCTCCTGAGTACTGGAACCACACACCCAGCTCATAGTATGTCTGAAGAGGAACAGAGACTTCAGTGACCACAGCAGCCAAATAGGCTGTGCCAGTAAAGAAAGCCAAGTGGGTGCTGGGGACTCAGAGATGGTGGCAATCAAAGGTGTTCTTGCCCTCTGCAATAGTTTAAGGTCACTGATATTCTCCATGAGCCTGGCTCTATTGAGAGGTAGTGGAAACTAACATCTAGGGCAGGGGTTCTCAACCTTCCTAATGCTGTGTTGTGGTGACCCTCAACTATAAAATTATTTTTGCTGCTATTTCATAATTGTAATTTTACTAGTGTTATGAATTATAATGTAAATACATGATATGTGACCGACCCCTGTGAAAGGTTCATGCTACACCACCCCACCCCACCCCCGCCACCCAGGGTTTGAGACCCACAGGTTGAGAGCCACTGCTCTAGCAGAAGGTCTTCATCATTAGCTGAGGCCCTTGAAGGAAACAGTGGAACTTGCCAGCCCCTTCTCTTCCTCTTTTTCTCCTGGCTCTACAGTGACCAGCTGTACTCTGCACTCCCCGTCAGGGAATGCTTCCTCACTATAGATTCAAAAGCAGCCAATAAACCACGGACTAAATCCTAACAGAACTATGAGCCCAAACAACTCTTTTTCTCTTCTTCAATTGACTGTCTCAGGTTTTTGTTACAACAGAAAGCTGATTAACAACATACCTCCCCCATCTAAAAGGTGCCTTTTCTTCTTTCTTTCCTTCTTTCTTTCCTTCTTTCTTTATTTCTTTTTATGCTTCACATGTCACTAGCCCAGAAAAACAATTACTATAGTTTGGACAACTAATTTACAAAAATAAAAAAACTAGGTGATTTTAAAATTCTTTATAACATTTAATTGTTTACTTGTGTGTTTATTAAGGATGTGTGAGGACACATACAGACATCAAGCACCACTAGCCACCCCCTTGAGGTATCTTGTTGGCCACAAGGAAGGTCTTAAATTATATCAGAGAAGTCACTTACAATGTATCATTCTGCCCATTACATAAATCCATATTATGATTATAACATATCAATACTTGACTATCAGTGGAGTTGAAGTGCATTAATGCAAGTCATCCTGGGGTTCAAATCTCAGCCCTCATTCTTACCAGCTCTTAGACCCTCAGCAATGACAGGGACAACAGCTTAATCCCAATTGTTACATGATGCTCACTGGATGTCAAGTGATATTTTAAGTGGTTCATAAATTTATCACCCTATTAACAGCTGCAATATTTGCTTCCTGGGGGTCACTCCCTCTTCTTCACTCCCTCTAGTGGAAGCAGTGCCTCATGTCACTTCTGGGATCAGTTACAAGATGACTGTAACAGTCTCTTTCTCTGGAAGGTTCCCATCTCTTATTCCCAGCCAGCCTATGAGAAGCCACACAACAGAGGAAGAGGCTACCCAGCAGTTTTGTGAATGAGCCTGGCAGAACACCTTGTAGCCCCATCAAGCCTTGAGTAACTAGAGCTCCACTCAACACTCTGGCCTAACCTCATGAGAGCCTGGGCCAGAAGAACTAGCTAAGCCACACCCAGGCCTCTGACCCTCTGAAACTATGAGGAATTGGGGAGAGCTGTACCTAGAATGAACACAGGGCCCCAGATGACAGGCAAGCATATTACCACTAAGCACTAAGCTACAGTGTCAGCCTAATTAACTAAATTTAAACTGATACACGCAAGTTTATGTACATGAGTTCACTGATCCTCATGGCAATCCTATGAGGCATTTTTAGTCCTAATGTTGAGCCTAGAAACAGAGTATAGGAAACAGAGGTAAGAATTTCAGAGGTCAAATAGCTCAGCTTTCTCTGATTATCCACCCTTTGTCAAAGTGAAGGTCAGAGCCTAGTAACTCACATCCAGCTAAGTGAGCACTCCACCTTACTTCCCTAAATAAGAGAAGAACACCAAGGAACTCTGAGGATTGGTGCAGCATGCACAATTCTTCAACAACCACTTCACTGAACTTTACCCAGTGCCAAGCATTGTTCAGACATATGAGTGTAGGGGTACAGGACAAAATGGGTCCCCATCCCCACAGAAGTGGCATTCAAAAAGGAACTAGGCCTTACAGACCAGCAAATAGGTAGCAGAGTTCCAGACCACACTGCACCCTATAAAAATGAGAGGGGGATAGGAAGGAGGTGGGGTGGTCCAGGAGAATACAGGGTGGTGGAATGTTTTAAAGAGGAGTTGACAAACCTGAAGGAGGGTGAAGACATACCACTTCCAGAATCAGGATGCAGGACTGGATACACATAAGCCACCTGCAGGCCTGTCAAAATGCAAATTTGATTCAGAGCAGTGGAGCAGGGTCTGGAAGTCCGCATTCCTAACTATTCCAGGCAGGCTGCCAGACTCAAGGTTAGACCAGAGGGAAGGGCTAGGAAAGCCCCAGGAAGCTGAAGAGACTGGAGCCAGGCATGAGTCATGAAGGGTCCTGAGCCAGGGCAAGGACTGGGAGCAGCCAAGAAACAGTGTGAGGGGGAGACAAAGTATGTGAGAAAGAATAGATGTCAACACAGCAGAGGCAGCTGACCTTCTAGGAGGCGAGCACTGTGGTCATCCAGCCAAGAAATGGTGGTGGTCAGGACTGGAAGGACTGGGAAATAGCCACAGAGGGGAAGGGAAGTCCATAGCATCTGTCTGAAGGAGTCCAGACCATCTTGCCTCCACTTCCAGCCCTGATCCACCTGCTGGCCACCCTGCAGTTTCCTTTCAAAGCTCAGGGAAGATGTAAATCATAGAGTAGGTGGCAGCAAGTGCCTCTCCTACAGCTTCCAGTGACTACAGTAATTAATGTGTGCAAGTCAAAGCAATTACGCCTGCTGGATGTCAGAATAAACAACCAGCAACCCCAGACAACACCATTCAAAGGATAATT